CCCGCACTGTATTCCACGCGGATGGTGCCACCCCAGCACGCGCGCAAGGGCGTTCGAGTCACGTCGAGATGCGGCGCGACCTGGCCCGTTCGGCAGAATTTATTTTGAAACTGTTGGAAGACCGATGATTGGATCAATATTTCACAATAGCGCGACTGCACGTTTTTGGTGTTGGGAAATCCATGGCATTTGACAAGCAATGTGTTGGAAAATTGTCGTTGGAAAGCAATGTTTTCATGTTTTTGGGACACTCGATTTTGAACGTTGCGCGAAACTAAGAGTTTGTGTAACGGTTTCGGCGCGCGCGCGACGACGCGCACGTGTGCACTTCGCCCCGTGTTGTGCGAGGGGTTTTTGTGACACCACGCGCGCAGGGGCGTTCGAACACTGTCGAAATGAGCTCGCGAGAGGCCCGTTCGGTAGCATTATATGAACATGTTGAAACACCGAGCGCGGGCGCAGTTTTGTCTGACAAAGGTTGATACAACATCCGGCGTTTTTTCCGAAAACGAAAATTGTTGAAATATGCTGGTATGCGACGACCCGCGCATGCGCACTTCGTTCCAATACGTTTGCAAAACAGGTTTTTTCTTTTCATGACGATCCGCGTCGTCTTTTTCTACAAATTGGAAGAGGGGCCGATACCGGCCTGCCGGGGATGCTATGAGTTCATATGTTGGATGGGCGTTGGGGCAGACTTGTATGCAAACTGCAATACGGAAAGCAGGACCGTTAACTCCGGGGGATATATCGTAGTGTGTGTATATATAGAGAGACGGAGAGAGAAAGAGAGAGAGAGAGAGACATAACCAAAACATTACGGTACCGAGGAATCCCACATACCAATTAAATTTTCTGCGTGTACCATCGGCACTAATCTTATCACCAAAACAACAACAACTACTACCACTACTACCACCACTACTACTACTATTACTACTACTACTATTACTACTACTACTACTACTACTACTACTACTACTATTACTACTACTACTACTACTACTACTACTACTACTACTACTACTGCTACTATTACCACTACCACTACTACGACGACGACGACTACTAGTACTACGGCTACTTCTACTACGACTACTACTACTTTTACTACTAATACTGCTACTTCTTCTACTTCAATTACTTTCACTAGTAGTACTAGTACTACTAGTACCACCTAATACTACCAGTACTAGAGTACTAGTACTAGTACTACTACTATAGACTACTACTACTACTACTACTACTACTACTACTACTACTACTACTACTACTACTACTACTACTACTACTACTACTACTACTACTACTACTACTACTACTACTGTACTACTACTACTACTACTACTACTACTACTACTACTACTACTACTACTACTACTACTACTACTACTACTACTACTACTAGTAGTGGTAGTAGTAGTAGTAGTAGTAGTAGTCGTAGTAGTGACAGTGGTAGTAGTAGTAGCAGTAGTAGTAGTAGTAGTAGTAGTAGTAGTAGTAGTAGTAGTGGTAGTGGTAGTGGTACTACTCACAGGGCCAGCTACGCCGAGCATGTCAGGCTGCAGTGCGAAAGGACGAAGAGTGGGAACATCCATTATGTAGGGTGCATCGTTGGTAGAGTATCTGTAAAGCGCCCTCCATAAGTCGGCATCGCCGCCCCTTCTCGACGGTCGGTACTCTGGATCGGCAGATCGTTTGTCAGCGAATGCCTTGTACCATTGACCGCCTTCGAATCCGCTTTCGCCAACAGGTTCTCGAGCTGAACTGATTCTCGCAGGCCTTGCGACCAAGGTACTCCTTCCCAACGCCGGTCCGTCTGAGCCGGCTCAGAGGGCAGCTGAATGCGAGGGGTGCCTGTGGAACGAATAGAGGTAGCAAGCAGAACTGCCGGGGACCGCCGAGGAGTGAAGGCCTGCATGGGCGTGCACTTGATGGGCGTGTCCTGCGCGGGCGTGGCACTGGCCCCGTTGCCAGCGTCGCCGACCCGCCGGACTTTCGCCAACGGCGAGCCATCGCCATTTTCGGCACACCCCCCCGGCTGATCAGCGGGGAACCCGCCGGACGAAGTGTTCAGCAAGTACCTGATCAAGCACTGTCTCCTAGCATCGTCGGCGCTTTTTGTTCGCGGCAACTCATTGTACCTGGCGAGGAGCGTCTCGGGCCACCAGTTTAGAAGCTGTCGCTGGTAAGCATTAAATGCGTTGTGCACCAAGGAACTCCCGTGCCTCTCAACGTGCGCGCGTAAACCCTCGAAACTCATTTCGGCGCCCATCTCTCGCATTGAGTTATTGAGCTGCTCGCGCGGAAGCGGCAGCGCGGACATGGCAAATTTGGGCGCCATGGCGGGTGCCGCACCTTTTGACGAACAATCACCGGCGCGAGTACGCCTGCGTGCAAACCCAAACGGCCTGAGCCGACATGAGCCAAGGTGGCTACAAATTTTTGATGATACGAACGCTTACCTCGCCAGCATTCCCCTGTGCCCTGAACACGACCGGCACGGATAGAAAACTTGCGTACCCATGTGCCCTGAGTAACACCGTCACGGACGGAGGCCGACACCGTCACAGATAGAGGCCGCGCTCGGGGACCACCCCCTGCGCACCCCTTATGGTGTCGAGAAAGTGCCGCGCTTGCTATGCCTGGACGACTGGCACGGATAGCGGCCGCGCTAAGGGACCACCCCCTGCGCACCCCTATGGTGTCGAGAAAGTGCCACGCCTGCTGTGCGTGGACGACCGGGGCGTATACAGGCCGCGGTGAGAGACCACCCCCTGCGCACCCCCTATGGTGTCGAGAAAGTGCCACGCCTGCTGTGCATGGACGACCGGGGCGTATAGAAACCGCGGTGAGAGACCAGCCCTTGCGCACCCCGTACACTGTCGAGAAAGTGCCACGCTTGCTGTGCCTGGACGACTGGGGCGTATAGAGACCGTGGTGAGAGACCAGCCCTTACGCACCCCTTATGGTGTCGAGAAAGTGCCACGCCTGCTCTTCTGCCTGGACGACCGGGGCGTATAGAGACCGCGGTGAGAGACCACCCCCTATGGTGTCGAGAAAGTGCCACGCCTGCTGTGCCTGGACGACAGGGTCGTATAGAGACCGCGGTGAGAGACCACCCCCTGCGCACCCCCTATGGTGTCGAGAAAGTGCCACGCCTGCTGTGTCTGGACGACCGGGGCGTATAGAGACCGCGGTGAGAAACCACCCCTTGCGCAGCCCTTATGGTGTCGAGAATATGCCATGCCTGGTGTGCCTTGGACGACCGGGGCGTATAGAAACCGCGGTGAGAGACCACCCCCTTGCGCACCCCTTTATGGCGTCGAGAAAGTGCCACGCATGCTGTGCCTGGGCGACTGGGGCATATAGAGACCGCGGTGAGAGACCAGCCCTTGCGCACCCCTTATGGTGTCGAGAAAGTGCCACGCCTGCTCTGCCTGGACGACTGGGGCGTATAGAGACCGCGGTGAGAGACCACCCCCTGCGCACCCCCTATGGTGTCGAGAAAGTGCCACGCCTGCTGTGCCTGGACGACTGGGGCGTATAGAGACCGCGGTGAGAGACCAGCCCTTGCGCACTCCCTATGGTGTCGAGAAACTGCCACTCCTGCTATGCCTGGACGACCTGGGCGTATAGAGACCGCGGTGAGAGACCACCCCCTGCGCACCCCCTACGGTGCCGAGAATATGCCATGCCTGGTGTGCCCTGGAAGACTGGCGCGTATAGAGACGGCGGCGAGAGACCACCCCCTGCGCACCCCCTATGGCGTCGAGAAAGTGCAACGCTTGCTACGCCTGGACGACTGGCGCGTTTAGAGACAGCGGTGAGGGACCACATCCTGCGCACCCCCTATGGTGTCGAGAAAGTCCCACGCTTGCCATGCATTGCGAATCCTACACGCACGTCTCATATATTGTGTGTCGTGTGTATGTGTATGATGTGTGCGCGGCCTGATGCGGTGAACATGCGTCTTGTGTTTGCCCCCTATGGTGTCGAGAAAGTGCCACGTTTGCCACGCACTGCGAATCCTACACGCACGTCTTATATATTGCGTGTCATGTGTATGTGTATGATGTGTGCGCGGCTTGTGATGCAGTGAACATGCGCCTTGTGTTTGCGAGAGTGTGTGTGTGCGCGCGGCTGTATGTAGACGCGTGTCTCATGTACTTGCCGCGCATGTTGTTCCATGTGTTGAGCGCGGGTGAGGGAGAGGAAGAAAAGGAGGGGAAGAGTGAAGTGTGTGAGGGTGTGTCGCGGGTGCGGCGCGACAGGGAAGAAAACCATAACCCCACGAAACATGTGGGGAACAAGAGAAAGAGAGGAACAGAGAGAGAGAGAGAAACAACAACAACACAACACAACAACAACAACGACAACAACAGCAGCAACAACAACAACATATGCGAGGTGGCGACGGATCGGCGTCGGCGACGACGGGGCGCCGACGGCCAGCACGGAGCCGCCAGACCGCCACCCAGGACCAGACGACGGGCGGCGACGAGGGTGCGATGGGGCGGCGACGGCGAACACGGAACCAGACCGACCGTCAAACTTTGCTCTTTTGAATAGAGTTAAGAATTTTTAAGTACAAACGCTGCTTGGGGAATTTCGGAACAACGCAGGCTGCTCCATGTTGGTAGTTCCAAGAAGATTGCGCATCGCAGGTTACTAGAAATAAACTGTCTGGGATCCACGCTCGCTAAAATACAACAAAAGATCGCGACACAACGATGTCCCCCCCCAGACCTTCGCAAAAAACAATCCTGCACGACATCCCCCAGAAATCTTCAGGATGTTCCCTGAAAGCTTCGGCCATCCCCCACGACAGCGGCGGCGGCGGCGGAGGCAGCGGCTTCGACGAAGACGGCAACGAAGACGACGTCGACGACCGCGGCAACGGCGATCCCGACGACCACGATGCCGACGGCGGCGTCGGTATCGACGGCCTCGACGACGATCCCGCCCACTGCGCCGCGCCTACGCGCGCGCGCGCCCAGCTCGGCGACCAACCACTCGGGCCAGCAGCGGCAGCCGCCCGCGGCCGCGGCGCCGACGCAGGGCGGGCCCTCGCCGGCCCAAGCGGAGCCGCGCGAGGAGGCCGAGTCGGACCTCGAGGCGCGCCGCGGCCACTTGCCGCCGCCGCCTCGCCGCGGCCGGCGCGCCGTCGCACGCGCGTCGTCGCCGCGGCCGCCGGCCCGTCGTCGTCGAAGTCGGCGTCGTCGAGGTCGTCGTCGAGGGTGGCGTCGCCGTCATCCGCGGGGTGGGCGGGGCCAGCGAGCGGAGAGCGGGGAGGTGGCGCTTGGGGCGGGCGGCAGGGCGCGATCCAAGGGGGGAGGAGGGGTGCAGGCGGAAGTCCAGCAGGAGCAGCAGAAGAGTGGTGGAGGGCCGCGGAGGCAAAGGGCCGCCCGCTGACCCGCCCCACATCTTTCTGCCTCATTGCTGCCTGTTCCCCATATCCTAAGATGGTCCTTGTTGTTGCTCTGACCACGCCGACTCTTCCCACCTCTTCCTCCTCCTCCTCCTCCTTCTCCTCGTCCTCATCTCCTATGATTATGCTGATGATGCTGATGCTGATGTTGATGATGATGATGATGATGATGCTGATGCTGATGCTGATGCTGATGGTGATGATGCTGACACTGACGATGATGACGGTGATGATGATGATGATGATGATGACGATGACGATGACGATTACGATTACGATGATGATGATGATGCTGATGAGGATGAAACTGACGCTGATGCTCATGCTGATGTTGATGATGATGATTATGATGGTGGTGATGGTGGTGATGGCGATAATGATGCTGGTGATGATGGTGATGATGATGATGATGATGATGATGATGATGATGATACTGACGACGATGACGACGACGACGGTGACGATGACGATGACGATTGTGGGGGTGATGATGAAGATGTTGTTGATGATGATGATGATGTTGATGATGATGATGGTGATGAGGATGATGATGATGATGATGATGATGATGATCATCATCACCAGCATCATCATGACGATGCTGATGCTGCTGCTGATGATGATGATGGTGAAGACGACGATGATGACGATAATTACCCACGACGACGATGATGATGATGATGATGATGGTGATGGTGGTGATGATGATGTGGTCAGTGGTGGGGATGACACCTACGATGAATGGTAATGGTATGACGATGAGGATTAGGGTGAGGATGAAGACGATGATGATGATGATGATGATGATGATGATGATGATGCTGATGCTGATGCTGATGCTGATGCTGATGCTGATGATGCTGATGATGAAAATGATGATGAGGGCGGTATTATGGTGATGATGATGGTGATGGTGATAATGATGATGATGATGATGATGATGAGGAGGATGAGGATGAGGATGAGGATGAGGATGAGGATGAGGATGAGGATGAGGATGAGGATGATGATGATGCTGATGAGGTTGATTATGATAATGGTAATGCTGATGATTATGCTGCTGCTGCTGATCATGTTGATGGTGGTGACGATGGTGGTGATGACGACGATGCCGATGACGATGAGGATGACGACGCATCAGATGTTGAGGGACTTGTCTGCGTTCAGAGCGGATTCCGAGGATGTCTGGCGCGGCGCTGCTTCCGACACCGCCACGCGGAGGCCGCCGAGGAGCATCTCATTCTTCCGTTCGCGCCCAGATTGCGGGGATGCATCGGGCGATTTGCGCGTTGGCATGCTCAACTTCCTCCGCTGTCGGAGCATATTTGGAGGATGTCTCGGGCGAGGCGCTTGTCTTCGCTCCCAAGGGGGCCCAGATTGCGAGGATGTCTCGAGCGGTTTGCGTGTTTTGCTGGCGAGCCTCGTCTCTGCGCCCATAGCAGATTCTGAGGATGTCTCGGACGGAGGGGGGGCAGACTGCGACGATGTCTGAGGCGGTTTGCCTGTTGTGGTGGCTAGGCTCCTCTGCGTTCAGGCCGAATCCTTGATGTTTTATTTGCTTACTATAAATTGCCCCTCCCCTGTTGCTAACATCCTGTGTGATTTACATGTGGTGTCCCTCCTTGGGCGCGAATGCTTTTCGTGTTCAAACATGTCCCTACATATTGCCCCTCTCCTGTGGCTGCAATCCTAGGTGTTGCACGTATGGTCCTAAATCTTGGGCTTGTCCTGAGGCACGAATCCCATCCCTCACCAGGAGGCCCCATGACAATCCAGGAGACCAGAGGAAGCCCTTGGAGGCCCCAGAAGGCCCCAGGAGGCACCAGGTTCCAGGCGGCCCCAGGAAGCCCTAGGACGTCCCGTGAAGCTCCAGGAGGCGCTAGGAAGCCCCAGGAGGCCCCAGGAGGCCCCAAGAGGTTCCAGGAGGCCCCAGGAAGTCCCAAATGGCCCCTGGAGGCCATAGGAGTGGCTTCAATCTCTAGATTGGGTTTCTCCGTGGGCACGAACCCTGTGGCTCCACTCCAATCCTAAGTGATTTCCACATGGTCTTATGAGTGTGGCTTTTCTTGGGCACGAATATTTGGTGTTTTACGCGTGTTCCTATCGAGCGATCCTCTTCTGTGGCTCAGATCCGAGTGTTTCACGTAGGTTCTTATAGATGGCATCTCCTGGGGTACGAATCAGGAGGCCCCAGGAGGCTCTAGGAGGCCCCCGAGGCCCCAGGAAACCCTGGGAGGCACCAGGAGGCCCGAGGAGGCCCCAGGAGGCACCAGGAAGCCTCGGGACTCCCGAGGAGGTCCCAGGAGGCCCCTGGGACCGCCGGGAGGTGTGGCTTTCTGACCCCAGAGTTGCCCAGGGTCCCCCCAAGGATCCCTTCTGGGACCCCCTCCTGGGACAGCCCCCCCCCCGCGGGAAAGGGATCGAATGGAACGGGCTCCCCTTCGATTCAAGTATGATGTTGTTGTGTCATTTCGTTTTGGCTGGCGCGCTTGAGGAAGCCTGGGCAAAAAGAAGGGAACGGCGACGGCGACGATGACGAACGGAAGAGCGTGTTCCACGCGACGACAGGGTCGGCGGATTCCGGGCAATGCAGACAGTGCGATGTCGTCTCACGTGACTGCTTGTGCCGAAGCATGATGCCAGCTCTACAAATAGGTCCTTTAGCAGTTTTTGGGGGAAACTTGTCTCGACAAGTGCGACATCACCTCACGTGGCTGACCGTGCTGGAGCAGGCTACCAGCCGGACAGACGTGTGCCTTCGCAATGCTTGGTCGTTTGTTTTCTGGATGCAGTTCTAAACAAGCTAGCCTGGTGAGGAAGCCAATCATTTGGTAACACGTTGCGACAATCACCATACCGCTCACTACACAAGAGTAAACTCAATAATCCGAAGTACCCCTGAACGCTGCGCCGACACACGTCAGACCGCACTCAACGTTCCCCATACACGCACGCACTCTCGCGACTCAACTCGAGAAAGGGGGGGACCACGAACCACGAAGTTGTTGCGAAATGGGGCGGGGCGACGACATGCGAACGCAGCCACTGGAGCGTTCGGTGGAGCCTCCTCTGCGGGCACGAAACGAGGGAGAGGTGTGCCAAAATGGGGCGAGGCACCGTGCGAACGCAGCCACCGGGACCTTCGGTGGTGTTCCTTTCGGGGCCACGAGCTGTATGAGGGGTTTGTCGAAATGGTGCGGGCCACCACTCGACCCTTGCCATTGGGGCTGTCGGTGGAGACCCGTATGGGGCCACCAATGGTGTGAGGGGTGTGCCGACACGGAGCGGGACACCATGTTAACCCAGCCACTAGGGCCTTCGGTGGAGCTCCCGATGAGCCAACGAGCCGTGAGAGGGGGGTGTGAACCAGGGGCGGGCCACCATGCTAACCCTGCCTATGGGGCCTTCGGTGGAGCTACCCAGGGAGCCACGAAACGAGTGAGGGATGAGCCGACATGGGGCGGGACTCAATTCGGACTGCGCTATTGGGGCCTTCGGTGGAGTTTCCTGGATAGCCACGAAACTTGTCAGGGGTGCGCCGAAATGGGGCGGAGTACCATGCGATCCCTGCCACTACGTATGGCCTTCGGTGGAGCTCCCTAGAGGGCCACGAGCCGTATTAGGGGTTTGCCGACATGGTGCGGGTCACCACTCGAGCCTTGCCATTGGGGCCGTGGAGCTTCCTAAAGGGCCACGAAACTAGTGATAGGTGTGTGGAAACTGAGCGGGCCACCATGCGGACCCTGCCATTGAGGCCTTCGATGGAGCTCTCTAGAGGGCCACGAAACGAGTGAGGGATGCGCCGAATTGGCCCGGGCAACCATGCGAACACTGCCGCGGGGGCCTTCGGTGAAGCTCCATATGGGGCACGAAACGAGTGAGGGGTGTGCCGAAATTCTGCGGCTTACCATTCAAGCCCTGTCATTGGGGCCTTCGGTGTAGCTCCTTAGAGCATTGGGGCCTTCGGTGTAGCTCCTTACAGGGCACGGAACGTGTGAGAGGTGTGTCAAAATGGGGCGGGGAACCACTCCCTATGGGGGCACGAAGCGTGTGAAGGGTGCGCCGAAACTGACATGCGGGCGGCAGAGTGTGGGGATGGGGAGGGAAGAGACGCGAGGAGTGCGACTCACGGCACTGCGAATTCGAAACGAGGGCCCAGCTCAAAGGAGGGATGGACACAAATTCGTGTGTGTGTGTGTCTGTGTGGAGAGAATTTCGAACACACGCTGGTCGGTGGAAGAAGGTTGCGGTGCGGGATCTAGCTCACGTGGACCTTCTCATATATGGAGGCGGCGAAGGAGGAAATGAGAGGGGGACCGAAGCTCAGGAACGGAGAGGGGGTTCAATGATAAGGCAAGGGGAGGAGAGGGGTATTTTGTAGGTGGGTTCAGAGGAGACGGAGTGGAGGATAACCAGGGGGACGAATGGGGCAGAACCTAAGTGCGTGTTTGTTTTTGTCTTGCTAGATGTGCTGGCAATCGCTATATCGGAGGTTGGGGGGTGAGATCGCAGTCACACGGAGACCCCCACCGGGAAATCGGTTTCGGTTTCGTGTTCGTGTCGCGCGTGCGGGCGAGGCGAAGCTGCGCGCGATCCTCCTGTAGCCAGGCCGAGGTAGGAGCGAAAGTCCGTTCCCGTCCGCCGGTGGCTGGGAGGTGCCCCAGTTGGGCCAGGCGGTGTCTTGGGTGTCCCGGGCGTCAGTAGGAGCGAAAGTCCGTTTCCCGTCCGCTGGTGGCCGGGAGGTGTCCCAGTTGGGCCAGGCGGTGTCCCGGGTGTCCCGGGCGTCCTGGGCGTCCCGGCGCTAACGCATGTCGCTAATTTCATAATTCATGTTTGCCGGCGCCTGCGGAGGGCTTTCTTATCCAATGCAGCTTATCTTATCCAATCCATCTTGTCCAATCCAATCCATCTTATCCTATCCAACCCATCTTTTCTCATCTTACCTTATCCCACCCAATCCAATCCACCCAGCCCAATCCATCAATTCATTTGTTTATGCGCCTGCGGTGGGCCAATCCAATCCATCTTATCTTATCCAATCCATCTGGAGGTCAGTCAGGGGGGCATTTGATCTCACCCCCCCGACCTCATTTTCGCCCGCAGGGTGGTCGTATAGGTATACATACTCGGGCCGGGCGAAAGGAGGGGATTGGGAAAGGGGGGGTTACGAAATTAGCTGCATGCAGCTGGTTTCGGCCTCACCGAGAGGCCCATTCCTCGATACATAGCCGCCTCCGGCTGCCGGAGGCGCCGGGAAAATCAGCTACGTGCGCTGATTCTCAAACCCCCCCTTTGCTATCCCCCCTTTTCGCCCGACCCGATATACGTATGTGTGCACATCTCGTTTCTTTATTCTCTCTCTCTCTCTCTGTCTCTCTCCCTCTCTCTTTCTCTGTGTGGGTGTGTTAACGTTGTTGTGGTGGTCGTCGCCGATGTCGTCCCCGTCGTGGTCGGTATTGTCGCCATCGCAGCGGTCGCCGATGCCGACCCTGCGTCGTGGTGGATCCTGCCGTCGCCACGGGTCCTGGTCGCCTCGCGGCCACCCTCGACGACGTCGTCGGCGAGGCGGATCGAGGAGTGCAGGACAGCAGCTCTAAAAGTGCACGAAGTGCGCACGTTTCTGCACCCCACGCGAAGCGCCCCCCGTAAAAAAACGCACCCCCGGCCAGCCTGGCCACTCCTTCGAGCCCGGCCCAGCCGCGGCGACAAAGGCATCCAAGAAGAACACGCCAGCAGACCTCCGAAACGACGGCGGCGGCGGCGGCGTCGTCGTCGTCGTCGTCGTCGCCGTCGTCGTCGTCGTCGTTCGCCGGCGGCCGGCGGCTGCTGGACGTCCTGGCGGCTGCTGGTCCTCGCCGCCCCCGCCGCCGATCGCGGCCCTCGCCGCCCCGGGCCGTCGATCGCCGGCCGCCGTCGGTGGCTTGTCGGCGGCCGTCGGCCGCCGCAGTCGGCGTCGTCGTTCGGCGCCGGCGCCGCCGCGCGAGGCCGCCCGGCGGCTGCCCGTCGTCCCCCTGGAGGAGTCGGGGGCGGCCAACACATCATATCAGAGCCCCGAATCATCAGGGATAACTCGGGTCAGGGATAACTCGGGTTCGTTTTCCGGGAGTCCGAACCCGAGTTACCCCGGACCCGAGTTACCCCGGATAACTCGGGCGCCCAGAGCCCCGAATCATCAGGGGTAACTCGGGTCAGGGCTAACTCGGGTTCGCTTTTCGGGATTCCGAACCCGAGTTACCCCGGACCCGAGTTACCCCGGATAGTTCGGGCGCCCAACATATCATAGCGAGAGTTGCCAAACAAAAGCCAAATCATACCACGCGCCTCCTCGTCAGGCAGCCTTGCTGGTGCGGGCCGTAGCTCGGTACCGTTTGGTGTCTTTTGGAAGCGAGGGTGGTCAACAGCGAGCCACGTTCGTTTGCCTCTGAAGGAAGGGGGGCTTCGGTAGCAAGCTATCTCCTCACAATTCCATTGCAAGGGTGCGTTAACCAGTTTTAGCGTGCGCCAGCGTCCGGCAATCCATGAGAAAGCGCCGATTTGGCGTCGATTGGCGTGCATCCAGCTTTGATTCGCAACAGTCAGAAAGATGGCATGGGAGACTCCCATGAGTCGCCGCAGAAGGGGGTGATGACCAAGGGGTAGATGTCATGGCTGTGGCCATGATTTATCGAGCGCGCTCCACTACTCGCAAACGTCTGGGAAAAAAACACATAGTTGCCTCGGCGTGACGGATCCTAAGTCCCCCGCGGCAGATGCAGGCCACTTGCGAGTAGCTACTTTGCGAGTAGTGGAGCGCGCTTGTCTCATGACGTCCCCAGATTTCATGGCCCCCTCGTCTTCTTTCGAGATGCCCCGTGGTCCCCCTCGTCCGCTCACATGCATCTGGCCATGGTATGCTAGATTTGACGAGTCCGGGGCGATGTTTTGAGGGGGCGTGGGGGCGGAGTCCCTCTGGCTGAGCATGACGGAGGGAAGGATGAGGAGACGGAGAAGGATCAGGAGGTGAAAAAGCGCTCAGACACAAAGAATCGTCGATGCCCGAGGAAATGTAGGAAATTATGGGAATCCAGCGATTTGTGTGTCTATTAATTGATGTGCCCTGGGCCCCCGTAGGGGAGGAGGGAGAGGAGGAGGAGGAGAGGAAGAGAGAGAGAGAGAGAGAGGAAGAGCGAGAAAGGAAGCTGCTCCTTTTCAAGCCCTCTGAGGGCCGAAACCGCCCTCAACCCGTCGAGTCTGGAGCTCTTAGACGCCCCCCCCCCCCCCCCTCTGGGCAGCAACTGACCTCGGCCGCGCTGAGCTCGGCCCAGGCCGATGTCAGCCTGGCCGAGTCCACCTGGCCGAGTTCCGCCCTAGCTCTCGGACGCTCCCGAAGTCACCAGCCTCGAACTGATCCCTATCCCTAAGATCGGGGAGCCCAGATGCGATGATAATCTTAGGGGATGCGCCCTCAGAAACTGAAGAAATCCTTGAGGTCGGCGGCGGGATAAGGTGATGCAAATCACAGGGATAGGAATCTGTTTCTCGCCATGGGAGAAGCGGGTCTCGAGGGGAACGGGTCCTGAGGTTCTTCGCCGTTCTCTGGCAGTCCCGGGGCCCTCCGTAGGCCCCGGGACTGCCAGAAAGCGCCTCAGGATGAAGAACTCGTCCTGGGGGAAGGCCCCGGGGTCCAGGATTCGGTTCCCTCAGGGCCTGCTTCCCCCTATGCTAGGCCACTCTTCCTTTCAGTAGGAGGTTGCTACAGGTGCCCCCGGCCCCCGGTGCCCCTAGCCTTTCGCTCCATTCTGGTGCCCCTGGGGCCATTTGGGCCTCGCGAGGGCTGCTCTGGAGGCCGTGGGGGCCTCCTTGGAAATCCCAGGGGCACCTTGGGCCAGGGCCACTTGAACACCCGACTCGGGGGCAGCTGAGGGGGGGTGGACTGGCTCAGGCAGGAGACGCATCGACCCCGAGTCGCCCATCCATCGCCCAGGCAGGGGACGCATCGACCCCCCATTCGACGCCCAGTCGCCCACAAAGGTGGGGGGGTGGACGGGCCCAGGACTCGTGTCCCTCCATGAGATGCGACGCCCAGAAAAAACTGCACATGGTTGAAAATGACGACCAGAGCCGTCGACCCCATTTTCATGCGTCGTTTTTGGAGCCGGATCGACCAGTGAGGGTCCCAGGGCCCTAAGTTGAGCGAAAACGCCCATTGTGAAAAAATTGCAACGCCAGCATCGCGAGGCTTCCCAGACATCCGCCGATCTGATTTGTTCCATCCGCGGTCCCAGAGGTCCCGACCCTCTCCGTGGGTGGTTTTCGTCCCGGGTGCATTTTGGAGGGCCCCCAGGCCCGATCACGGGCCCCAGGAGGCCGAAACCCAGGATAGGACCGCCGGGTTGAGCACCTCAGAGCCTCGGATCTCTGGGGACGGGTCCTCCACTACGCGTCCTCCGACTTGCCTCGCGCAGGCGCCCGCCGGGAGCGCTCGGCGGCCTATTCATCCCTTCACCCTCCTCCCCTGACTTTCCAGAGTGCTAGAAAATAACACTCCAGACCTATATAGATCTATCTGGACTGCCTCAAACCTCGAGAGGAATTAGGACGTCGACGTCGTGATGCTATTTTTTAGCCCTCCTGGAAAATCAGGGTCCTCCTCCTCCTCCTCCTCCTCCTCCTCCTCCTCCTCCTCCTCCTCCTCCAGGGAAGCAGGTTTCAGCCCTCGCGGCGCAGGAGCCCGCTGCTCCCGCTCCGGCGCCCAGCAGCGCCGCGGCGCCCGAGGCGCCTGCGGCGCGGGCGGCGCCCGCGCCGCCGCAGGCCGGGGGGGTCCGCCCCCGCTCGCCACCGCTCGGCGCCGCCGCCGCGGCCGCCTTCGGAGGGCCTTCGGAGGGCCGCGGGCCCCCTCGGCCCGCGCCGCCGCAGGCCGCGGGGGGTCCGCCCCCGCTCGCCGCCGCTCGGCGCCGCCGCCGCGGCCGCTCGGCCTTCGGAGGGCCTTCGGGAGGCCGCGGACCCGGCCGGAGATGGGGCTCGCCACCGCGCCGCCGCCGCCGCCGCCGCGGCCTTCGGAGGGCCTTCGGGAGGCCTCCCCAGGGCCTGTCCCTTCACAGGAGGAGCCGGGGGTGGGCAGACCTCCTCGTCCTCGTCCTCGTCCTCCGGGTGGATGGCCGCTGACGGCCCCCGGGCTCGGCAGGGAGAAACCTCCCGAGACGGCGCATTGGGCCCCACGCGAAAATTGGAGGATGATGGCCCCCGGTGGGAGTGGAAGAAGCGGAGAGTCACACACCCGATCGATACCCCAAACAACGACAAAAACACTGAAACCCACCCCAGAAAGACAACCAAACATCCGTTATTTAGGGTATATGCTACTCCACTTCCGCCACCCACCCACCCGCGACCAGGCCAGCCCGCTGCCCCACCCCCCTCTGCGTTCCAGCAACAACCCCCGCCGCGAAGGGGTTTGGGGGGAGCAGGCAACCAGAGGAATCCGGCGCCGGGCGCAGTGTGTTTGCTCCCCCCAGATGGTCCTTAAAGAAGGCCATCGGCGCTGGGGCCATGGGCCCGGAAGCGCGGCAAAACGAACGCCCAAGCAGGGCTGTCCGTAACGCTGGGACCAAGGAGGGTGGACGCGGGACTAGCGCAGGCCGCGACACCGTTGTGCCCCAACTCACTTCTTTGCGTGTCGACGATGCGCAGGGGTCAGACTAATCTATTGAGACACGCAACCACACATTAATTCACAAAATCATATGTTGGGTGCTTCGTTGTTGGGATTCCAGTGCGCACGTCGAAGATCGCACCTGATTCACCGAACTGCCTCAACCGGCTACTTAGGGTCCACTACGGGCACCACATCGGAAGCACACGAACACTTAGACATAATAAGCCGGGTCGCCTGGACCATGGGCCCCCCCGGCCTGCCCCCCGGATGGGGCCGAGAGGGAAAGAGCCGTAGCCCCAACCGCCCTCTCTGGCATGGAATCCGGGGAGGTTTGAGCAGTCCCGCCCCCGCACTCACAATAAGACCAAGAGAAGGGACGATCACAATGTGGCACTATCCGCCAGCGCCCGAACATACAGCACAAGTCCCCTCCCCGAGCATTACCCGTTAGGGGGCGCCCTCCTGGGGAGGGCGTGGGTTAGCCGTACCCCTTGGGGGATACGTTGCCCCTGACGCGGCCGCTCAGCCGCTGGGGGATCAACAGTGCGGCCGCCAAACCGAACCCCTGGCCCCCGCGCCCCTCCAGGAGAAGGAGGGGGAGGAGGGGAGAGAGGAGGAAGGGGAAAGGAGGAGGGGGAAGAGGGGGAGGGGGACACAACGAGGGCCGGGGGGTGGTTTGATACGGCCGCCTTGTCAACCCCCCAAACGCATCGACTTAGACTCCTGACTGTGAGAACCGTTGACAGGCCGAGACTCGTGGAGGCCTCTGCTCTATGCGTCAGTGGACAGACCTCCTACCCTGACACGTCGATCCAGGAATTGGCCGTTCTCGGTTCGCGGGAGGGCGTCGCGGCCCTCGTTTTTGCGGGTCCAGGTCCGTCGGTTTCGGTCCCAGGCCGTTTTCACCAAGGGGAGGTTTACGAAAGGGAGGTTTGTCCACCGCCGAAGGAGTATTCAGAAACAGTCAACAGATAGTCGGTGGCAGGTTTTTCTGGGGGCTGTCGGGAATTCTTGCATATGTTTGAGCATGTCTGGGGTATGTTTTATTTTTCGTTCGACATCCGCCTGTACGAGGAAACGCCCGACCTAAACCCAGGCCCCCTCGAGTCATGAACCAGTCATAACGAGAGTCCAGGCCTCCCATAGAGGATCCGAGTAGATGGGGTCGGAGGATCGCGCCGCATCGCCAATGCGGCTCGATGTGGAGACCGAGTTTCTCCACCCCGACGTCGCGGATGCGTCGCCGACGTCGCGTTTGCATCGCCGATGCATTCGCGATGCGGCCCGATCCTTCAACCCCATCTCGCCGACGTCGCGTTTGCATCGCCGATGCATTCGCGATGCGGCCCGATCCTTCAACCCCATCTACTCGGACCCAATACAAGAGGCTTCTGTTCGAGTCACACCCCCAGATACCCGAGGATCTGATTTTTCAAGTCAGCGGTTTATCCTGGATGTCGGCTTCTGGGGCCCGTGATCGGGCCAGGGGGCATCAGAAATGGATCTCGGACGGAGAACCACCCACGGGGATGGGGTCGGGACCTCCTTGGGGTCGCGGATGGACAGAAGAACACCTCGGCGGATGCCGGGGTCGAGCCATGGAAAAATCACGACTGGAGGTTTCGGGCCGTTTCGGGCCGCCTTCTGGGCCCTCGCCGCCGGGCCCCGAGGCCATCACCTTCCCCTCCTCCCCGGTCTTGAGCCGTTTCGGCTTCGGCTCGAGCCGAGCGGGCGCGCGCAGGTATAGGCCGCCTCCCCACCGGTGCTCGGCCCAGCCTGCGCGGGCGTTCTTCGAGACGCCACGCCCCTACAGGCCAGCTGCTGCGAGCAGCTCTGTCGTCCGGGCTGCCACACTGGAGGCGTGCCGCGCATGCGTGCCGGTCCCGCGTGCAGAGACGGAGGGAGCCGCCTCCGCGGGCAGGTTGGTGCCGGGCGTGGCGAAGCAGGCAGCACTCGAAGCCAGCAAGGGGGCGATGCAGGACGGCGTGGGAAGGAACGCTCGCAGAAGCCCCGAGCGAACCCCAGAATCGTCAGATTTGCGTCCAACACCGAGACAATCACTGCACTGCAGCCGTAGAGCTATTCTTCCAGGAGGTGCGCATATTAGTACAGCCTGGCAGATGGTAGTGACAAAAAAGGTGGCGATGCAGGACGTGCTGGAGGGTCGCGGAGCAGGCCCGGGAGGAATTGGACAGGGAGGTGGGCGCGGGCAAGGCAGCAGCGGTGACCGAGCCCGACCAGCAGCACCAGGCCATCCAACAGCCCGCCGCGACCACGGGCACGGGGCACGAGGAAGCGAAGTGCAGCGGCAAGCTGAGGAGTGCCCGCCCATGGCGCTGCGCCGCAGCCCGAGGCCAAATTGGGACGGGGAGTCCTCCGCGAAGACCCCGAGCAGCCCAGCGGGCCAGTCGAGGGATCCGGACGAGACTAGGAGGAACCGTCCAGTCGCCCAACTCCGAGGCTGCGCGCCCGTTCGGCGTGCCGGGCTCGGGCACCATCGCCGCCTCCAACACCGAGCGCAGCAGGGCCGGAGGCGCCGCCATCCAGTGGCGTCGGGGAAGCGGAGACGGGGCAACAGCAGGCGGGGTGACAGAAAATGACCGGTCCGAGGTAACAAACGCGCACTTTGTTGCAGTGCAGTTGTTTCGGCTTTCGCGTTTCATACAGCACCTGCCTCATGTTGCCTGCGTTGTAAATGTCCGGCTGCTGCACTGCAACTTTTGTTTTAGGCATCTGTTGCCCGGTCTGTTTGGCATGTTTGCATTTTTTTTTCCGCAGGTAGTTGCAGAACAAATGCAGTGCAGTTTTTCCGTGTTGCAGAACAATTGCCGTGCAGTTTGTTTTTCTGGCTGTTGCAGTTTCTCAGTTTGGATCCTATGGTGGGTCTGTTATCCCGTTTAGGCGTCACGAGGTTTATTCTTCTCTGATGGCGTGGGAGATGCAGAGTCCTGCGTCAGGGTGGACACGCTGGGCAAGGAGAAGAGGTTGGGCACGTGGGCGGACCGCAAATTCAAGCGGCCCATCAAGGCAAATCGCGACTACCGCAAGGCATGGGCGAGCACAATTAGGAGCACGGGAAGGACGAGTTCCAGGTGCCGAAGCGGCTGAAGGCGAAGGGGAAGGCATCCGACGCCAAGGGGCCAAAGGGCAATTGGTAGTAGGAGTGGAGGGCGGTTCAGGGCCCCAGGAGTTCGCATGGGGATCGGAAACATTCTGCTTCCAAGAGCGCGAGCGCGTCGAGGCATGCTGGGCCTTGAGACCGCTTTCTCAAACACGCTGCCGAAACCGCCGCCGAAAGAGCGAGGAGGCGCACGACAGCGCGGCCTTCTTGGAGGGCACGTGCGCACCGCGCGCGCGTCCGACCCACAGAGGAGTCGCCGCGTGGCGGTGTTGGGGCTCGAGAGACGGGGGTCGGTGCAAACGGGGGTCAGCCATGGCGCCGGATCCTTCTCCTCCTTTTCCTCCTCCTTTTGATCCTCCTCCTCCTTTTGCTCCTCCTTTTGCTCTTTCTCCTCCTCCTCCTCCTCTTCCTCTTCCTCCTCCTCCTCCTCCTCCTCCTCCTCCTCCTCCTCCTCCTCCTCCTCCTCCTCCTCGTGCGTGTGCGCGTGTGCTTTCGAGGCCAGACGGGGGGGGGGGCCAGCCCTTGGGCGGGGGGGGGGCTGGCGGGAGGCCGGATCCTGCAGGGCCAGGGGCGCATTGACCCGGGCTTGGGTGTAGGATCCTGTAGGATCTGGCAGGAGTTTGCAGGATCGTGCAAGGCCCGACTGGCCCGGGTCGGGACTGGCCCGGGCGAGAAGATCCCCGACCGTGGAAAGGCGCCTTGCGGAGCAACGTCGCCAGAACGCGGCCTCGCCGCAGCCGCAGGGGCCAGGTGTGGCCAGGCCAAGCGTTGCGGCGCGGGCGACCTCGACGACCGCCACCTGGCCACCGGACCGCGGCGCCGAAGGGCGCGCGAAGGGGCGCCGGCAGGAGCTCAGCCTGGAGGGTTTCTCCGAAGGGTTTAGGCGACCCCTCTTCCGCCTCCTCCTTTTCCTCCTCCTCCTCCTCCTCGTCCTCCTCCCCCTCCTCCTCCTCCTCCTCCTCCTCCTCCTCCTCCTCCTCGCTCCGATCAGTTTTGGGAAGGCAGGGTAGGTGCTGATGGGGATTATCATCAGAGGGGAGTGCGTACCTCGTCGCAGACCTCTCGGCCCGAGGGGTGCGCAGGCGCCCCAAAGTACGTCGAACGTCGCCCCAAAAACGTTCGCTGATGAGAGGTCTTCACTTCTCTCAGATTTCTGCCGCCTCCGGGACGCGGCCTCGCAGTATTGCGACAGCCGGGATCTCGTTTTCAGGTGGGCGGTCGAAGAGTCTGCTCTCATGTCTGCTGAACACCGCCAGGAGTTCACGACGGCTCTGGGGTCCCCGCCAGTCTTGTTTCACGCAGCTGATTTCGGCTGGGTGCACAAGGGCAGGTTTTTCTGGGGCCTTTCGGCTGAACAGCTAGCGAAACCCCAGCCTCCTGGTTGCACTCACGTCGACATAGTGCCGCCAGGGCGAGCGGGGCACGATGTGCACGTTCTCCGGTGGTGTGGGCCGCCTGCCCCGAGCGAGTGGTCCCCTCGAGATGGCTGGTCGTTGCCCTTTCGCCACGAAATCGGCAGGGCGGGGCCTACCGCGCCAGGTACGGCATTTATGCCCACGTACCCACTGGGTCGTTTTCTTGTCTCGCGTCGGTCGCCAAGTATCCTGCAGACAGGCCTCCTGCTGCGCGAGCCGATCCTTTCATCGACCAGCGTTTCTTGGACGACGAGCGCCGTCAACCTTTGGCGTCTTATGTCCGCGGGAACACGTTATGGAAGGGTGGCGCCGCGCGTCCGCTGCTCCCAGAGGAAGCAGAAGAGTTGCACCACTTCCCCCTGGGGTACACCGCAACGCTGCGACCCCCGAGCGGGGTTCACAGTTCAGCGGCTCGCTTTCATTCTGTCGCCAACTCTTCGCATGTCCCGAGCCTGGTGGTCATGATCTGCCTGCTGTTCCACCCTGTTCAGGGCCTGGTTCGCTGCCCAGACGCGCTGGGCCTCGGCCAGCCCGCGTGGTCAGCAGCACAGCGGACGCCACCAGATGCCCCGTGGCATCCGTCATGACAGGGATCACGTGCTTTCGGAAACACGGAACTCCTCGAACGAGCCCTTGCTTTGTTTCCGTCGCAGTTTTTCGCTCCCGTCAGCTCGTCGGTTCGCCTGGCGATGCGGGACGTCAGCGTGCTCGATTTGGCTTGCCTGACCAACTTCGACGCTTTCATGCGTGAAGCGGGAGCCCCACCAACCATGAAGGGCCCCGACATCCAGGCATTGTGGTCCAAGTCGCCCATGCACGCCGCGGCTGCCAGGCAACACCGCCCTGCTGCCTCCGACCGGGCTCTTCCTGGCCTCGTAGAGCACGGGGTGGGTCCAGATGAGCACGTTCGCAGGGCGTTGCTTCTGTCGCAGCCATTCGCGGCCCCGCCCAGTCTGGAGCTCGATCTGCAATTTGCCATCCATGCCAACGCCTCGCTTGGACACCGTGTCCGCGATCAGCGGCGGCACCGGCGAAAGTTGCTAGTGCGCCTTGCTGCTGCAGTCCACCCTCTGGACGAGTTCGCTTTGCAGCAACGGCATGTCAGCATCGCAGGCGCGCCAGGTATTTCGCCCGTATTTGCAGCGGTGCTCGTCGTGCTCTTGGAGTGGCCTGACAAGGGCCTGCCAGCCAGGCTTGCCCACGGTTTCGAGATAGCTGCGGAGGTCCCTGCTTCTGGCGTCCTCCGTCCGTGCTCCTCGAAATCTACTGGGCACAATGCGCCCCGACAGCCGTCCGAGACGCTGCGGGGGCCATTTGCCCGAGCGTTCGTGGACAGCATGGAACGAAGCATGCGCCCGGGCCCCCTGACGAAGGTCATCTACGACTTGACAGTGGAAGAAATCAAGGCTGGGCTCGCCGACCGATTTGTGACGCGGCGTGAGCCCGACCTTCGTTTTGGGCCTGGTGGCTATCGCCCGCTTCCGCGCCACGCTATACGGCAAGGCGACAAGTGGCGTGTAATCGATGATGGGAAGAGGGCTCGCACCAACGCCTTATCTTTCTTGTCGGAGACGCTGGTCACTATTCCGCCAGAGCGGCCGCTTCTCATTGCCCGCGCGTTGGCTTTCCAATTTTCTTCGCAAGACGGCCGCTTGCTTCCTGAGTGGTTCCAACTCGTCGCGTCAGTGGAGGATCGGTGGAAGGGGTGCCGACAATTATTCCCCACTCGCAGGGACATGGGGTTTGTCGTGGTGGCCCTTCTCCACCCCGCCACGCGCGAGTGCATGCGCAGCGTGTTGCGCGGGCTGCCTTTTGGCTTGGGGTCGGCGGTGAACAAATTCAACCGGGCCCCGCTTCTCCTCGCAGCCGCCGCTCGACGCTTGCTTTACGTGATGGGCGGGCATTGCGTCGACGATAATGTTATCGTATATTCTGCGCTGTCCAAGGGGGGCGCCGAACAGGGCTTCCAGGAGCTCGCGCGCCGGCTTGGCGTTGCGCTCTCGGACGGAAAGCGCGCGCCGCCGACGTCGATGATGCCTTTTCTTGGGGCACTTGAACGATCTTAGCCGCATCCAGACCGATGCAGCGGTCAGTTTTGAGCCTAAGTTAGGGACGCGCGACCGCTTCTTGGAGGAGGTGAACCAAGTTTTGCTGGCTGGCCGCCTCCAGTCCGGCGAAACCGCACACCTGCGTAGTATAGGCACATGGCTTGACACCTCGCTTGCTGGCCGGCCGTGTCGGGGGGCTTTGTCCGCCATCATTGCACGCCAGTGCTACGAGGACACCGTTGAGATCACCCCGAACCTTCGGCGTGGCCTCCAGTACTTATCCTCCGTAGCACGACGCGCTGCGCCGAGGCCGTTAGCCATCGCGCGCGACCCGCTTCCACCCGTGGTGGTCTACGCAGACGCTTCCGCGGACAGTGGTCGGCCACCGCGTCTTGGCGCCCTGGTGTTTGTTCCTGGACGCACGCCTGCTTGCCTGGTTTACGACGTGTCCGACAACATGTCTGCCCACCTTGGCTCACAGGGCGGCCATGTAATCAAACGGGCAGAGCTGCTAGCCGCCCCTCTCCTGGCGCGGCCCTTGCCATCCCAGCTGCAGAACAGGGGCGCGCCATGGTTCATTGACAACCAGGCAGCCGAGGCCGCTTGAGTCAAGGCGGCGTCGCCTACAGAGTCGACGTGTCGCTGGCCCTCGTGGCCACAGCGGCTCTGACGGCTCTTGGGGTCGGGCCGTGGTTCGAAAGGGTTCCGTCGTCCGACAACCCCGCGGACGTCCTGAACCGCGCCAGGTACGACGACTCCGTCGCACTGTCTCACATTCGTGCCGTTCGGTGGGAGGCGTTCTCACCACGCGAGCCTCCTGTAGCCGCCTTAGACTTCGACAGCCCGTTCGCTTCGCCTCCCTTACTGGTCGCGGGAGAAAACACAGGCGCCAGGGCGCGCCAGGAACGCCCGCCTTTCAGCTGATCTATGACCATTTCTCATTTGTTAATTTTCACAGCGTTTGGGGGGGGGGGCTTGGGGACTTAGCATTCTCAGCGTTGGGTGTTGTTTGGCCGATCAGAGAACCCATTGCCACATGTGGGATTCTTGATACGGAGTACCAAGCCCCCCCCCCGCCCCCACAAGTCCAAGATTGCAGCTAGGGCTGCGATTCCTCTCGCACTCCCCTTCTCGCCGATAATCGCCCCGATCAGTTTTGGGAAGGCAGGGTAGGTGCTGATTGGGATTATCATCAGAGGGGAGTGCGCACCTCCTCGCAGCCCTCTCGGCCCGAGCGGCGCGCATGCGAGGGTTTCGTTTCCCCGCCCCCGCCCCCTTGATACACCACCTCGTCGGCTGTATCGCTGATGTTCGTGCTCTTTTACGCCAGCATGCCAAGCAACCGGTTTGGGCCGTGACCTCCTTGGGCTCCGTCCGGCCTGGCCTGCCCAGTTACAGCTGGCGACAGTCTTGGGTCCAGGTCTCGCGCGGGAAGTCCCTGTCCCCGTGCTCCTTGCGGGGGGGTGTTGTTTGGCCGATCAGAGAACCCATTGCCACATGTGGGATTCTTGGCACGGAGTACCAAGCTCCCCCCCCCGCCCCCGCAAGTCAAAAATTGCAGCTAGGGCTGCGAT